ATCGTACGCTAGGCTTCCAGTTTCAAGTTTATTTCTCTGGTATTGCCAGGTTTTTCACTTTCTAGGTACGCTGTAACTCAGGTTTGAAATGTTCGCCAGTTTACGGTGACCTCCTCCAATACAAATCAGGGATAGGCAACCACTCATCATGGTTTACGTCTTTGTTTTTAAACTCACATTTGCCCCTCAGCTGCCTAGGGTGGCAAGCCAGTGAAGCGTTATCACCTTTCTGGCTGGAGAGGGGGGGGGCGGGGTGAAAAAATCGATGGGTAAAATCATGTCAGCAAGGCAAGACCTACCGATAATTCATCCGTTTGAGGGGGGTAGCTTTTCAATACATGAAGTACTTGAAATCGTTTTCAAGACCAGGTGCGAATCGTAGTAATATTTAAGGCCAGTTAAATGAATATAATTAATAAAAAAGGACTTATTACGTTGGACTGGATGTATGTTAACCCAACTTCACTAAGCCTTTATCGCATGCATCCCATGGTTTTAAATCATTTCGGTAGGAGGTCGTTAGACGTCATTCCAACCGTTCGTCCTAATAAATCTGGCAGCAAGCCCCGGCGTGGCTATCCTTAGTGGCTTTTTAGAGTGTGAATTCGAAACGTCTATCGAATGCAATTCATCCCCCAGCGATTCTTCTTCGTCTCCTTTTTCTAGGTCTTTTCTTCTTATTCGCACACATCCTCTTCTCCTCGGCATCCTTTTATTCTTCTTCGTTTTCTTCTCCTCATCATCATCATTCGTATCAGTGGACTTTATCGCTCAATTATGGGTGCTGGTTTTGAATTGGGTCTCAGAATGCCTACAAATTATGTAACAGAAACGACGTTTAATGAACTGGACTGGTGGTAAGAGTTTCTTCGTTGAAACACATTTAGCCAGGTCATGCAATCTCTGACAATTTTTCGGTGGTCAAACCCACAGCAGGCTAACCTACTTATCCCATTAAGTGTTCCTTTGCCGCAAATTTTTTATCAGCCGCAAACCCTCCTCGTTTCCAATAGGCACAGGTACCAAAGGTGACTGCTACAGGTCAGGGGTAAAAGCTAGCGAGTTGGTTTTGACTGTAAAAACAAAGTTTATGACTCCGTAAGATTTCATATCTTCGAAAGTTCAAATTGCCACATAATCCAGTTAGCAGCTCAAGAAACAGGTACACATGATTGACGGATGCGAAAAAATGTACTTTCCTTGGCTTTTGTGTGCGTCAGTAGGCAATTGCGATGGCTGCAAAAACGCACTACCAGCAATTAGTCACGTAAGTCCAACGACAACCCATCCTAAGGTACGAAGAGCCATCGCAGCAGGTAATCCACCCACGTTTCGGTGCAGAAAGTGTTTGTTTGCGTGAAACTGCTAATCGCGATCGAAGGCCACGATGCAACCAAAAGACCCGTTTCCGTCGACAAATGTCAGGGCAAAAGTAGTTTATGTAATGCACCTCATATACCTCTAGTACCCGCATTTTGTCCTACGGAAACGGTGATTATAGGGTTTTGGGGGTGAGGAAATAGGATAGGCAGGGACGGAAATTTGTAGAAGTAAATTTAAAGTGGAAAAATGTAGTTGAATTTGTTCCCTGCGGCCGCGAGGAGTAAGATGTCCCGCGAAGCGCCGCGCATTTTACTAATCTTACTCAAGAACTGTGAGATGGTCCTCAGGTAAGTTGAAGTAGATGACCTCCTAATCACCATCATTATCTCTTCAGGAATTTCAAAAAACCCTGCATTTTGATAATCGGGTTTTCCCGCGATACTTTAAACGATAATGCAGATTAGGAAAACCTACAGATATAAGGCAACAAACTATCTAATTACAATAAAATAAAATGCAGATAGCAGTTGTTAAAGTATATTTCACTGTATATCCTAATTCCCCACCCATAAAACGCCTTTAACCACAGTTTCCATAGGACAAAATGCTAGGACTAGGGGTATATGAGGTGCACAACTTAAACTGCTGTTGCCAATTTTAGTAACAGAAAGTGATATCATATAAAGGCTTTCTCTGCTACGCGGGTTAAAATCCCCCCGAACGCCTCGAGTTTTTTCACAATTTGGTCAACTAAAATTAATCAAATCTGCCAAACGTCCCAATAACATCATGACTGCACCAAAGGAAGCTGGGTGCTAACGTGAACTCGCGTCCACGGACTCCGAAATAGAACGTATACTAGACGAAGCCCTCTGAACCAAATGAAGTTAGGAAAAAGATTGCTCCTGCAGTTGTCAACTGTAATAACTATTACTCAGCGTTCTCGTTCTTATCTGCCACCTGACGGCGTACAGCACC